ATTGAAAGATCAGGTTGAAGCTTTACGTTGGGTGCGGGATCATATTAGTGATTTCGGTGGCGATCCAAATTCAGTGACATTGCTTGGCTACAGTGCGGGCAGCTTTAGTATTGGTCTGCACATGATGTCGCCTATGTCTAAAGGATTATTCCATCGCGGCATAATGATGAGTGATTCACCGTTGGCGCAATTTGGATACGAAAACAAACAGAAGAGACTGAGCGATCGACAGGCAGATTTGTTAAACTGTCCCCAAGAGCCAGAAACCGAGTTGGTGAAGTGTCTGAAGAAGGTAGGACGACAAGACGATAACGGCAGCATTGTTTCTATTATTCATGTATATTTTTTGTATACCCGAGCGCACTAGTGCACAAGGGCATTATAACCTTGTTCACATAAGGGTTATGTATACATAAATGATCAGAATGAAAAGAGAAATCGATTAAGCGGTGACTGTCCGTCCATCCGTCTGTCCGTCCGTCTGTGTATACGATAACTCAGTAAAAATTAAGAAATCTTAACGAAACTTGGTACGTGTACTTCATTCGGGCGTAGGACGGATGGTATTGAAAATGGGCAATAACCACGCCTACCTCCCAGATAACGGTAGTTTTCAGATATACGAAAACTGCGATATGTCAGTAACTACTGACGATTATTCACTCAAAATTTATACTTACTATAACTTTTAGACAAAAAAAAAAATGGAAAATGGTCACATGTGTATATCTTGGTAACTGCTCCACCGATTTCTCCCAAACTTGGCACAGCTGTTGGCTTTGAATGCTAAATTTCAGAAATGCTTAAAACTTCGATATTTAAGAATTTAAGGACGCTAATTTACTTAAAACTGATACTAATAACAATCCCTTGAAGTTGGAATTTCGGAAAATGATGGCGTGATACCGCCCACATATGACTATATAAGTTTATCTCATTATTGCTAACTGAACGTTCTATCGGAGATGTTTAAAATAGGGGGTTAAAACCAACCCTGCTTACCATGTAGCAGTAGTTTTCGGAAAGGTGAAAAACATATAAGTAACTTCTTACTTGTTTTAAATTATTTTTGTATAGAAATCAATGTTGGACTTTGTGAACACAGAAGCTCAAATGTTTGATTTAAACTGGAATCCTATTATAAATTGGATGCCCGTGATTGAGGACGATTTTGGACAAGAGCGTTTCTTGGTGGAGGACCCATACGAGACCATCCAAAGTGAAAATCTTTACACAGTACCACTTATAATCGGTATAACGGAGTATGAGTTTATCGGTGGTGCATACAGTAAGAACCTCTTCAAAATCTCGATTTAAAAAACAATTTGGCTTTCATGGTTACCAATTTCGTTTCGTCTCTTTAGACCTCCTGAATAATGAGACCGCAAGGAACTGGTTGAACGAGGATTTCGAAAAATATGCACCAATTACACTTATGTATGAACGTAACACCGCGCGTTCGAAAAATATAACCCACACGTTCCACTCAAAATATCTAGGAAATTCTACCTTGGCGCTGCCTGAATCTTTAGACCCATTTGGAAAACTGTATTCTGATGGTATCACTATCTTTGCGTATAATCGTTTCCTGGACGTAGTGTCACGGCTTACGCCCGTCTATACGTACCTCTTCACCTACAAAGGGCGTTACAGCCATTTCCTGTATAATGGTGAAGTTTACGGTAAGCTGTTTATAAATACTTGCATCCAATGTAAAATATCGTAAAAACAAAAACATTTTACAAATTATAATTGAAGGTGCCGTACATCACGACGAATTGCTCTATTTGTTACGGGTACCTGGTATGACGCCTCTTTTCACGCAAACCGATCCCGAAAATGTGGTTATTGAAAATTTAACGCGTATGTGGACGGAATTCGCTAAAAAGGGGTAAGGC